TACTGGGCATGGTTAAAACTCAAGACAGCGTAAGCACAATTATTCCAGATATTACAGGTTCCGACAAGTAAAGAATTTTTATAGTCATGCCACAAATAAGCTATATATTGATTATTGACCATTTGTGACATGCTATAACGAGCAAAAATTTAAAAAAACTAATAGGTAGGTTTAAAATTAATAAATACAAATGTATTCTGGCAGTGAATGAGTTAATTATGCTTTCTATTTGCAAAACTCCTCAACCTTAACACAAAATAAGAAAAAAAGTGAATTTTTAAGAAATTTGCGGGATTTCCCGGGATATTTCCCGGGTTAAAAAAACAACCGGGATCCCGGAATCCCGTTTCAGAAACCCTAATTCAAATCTCTACTACAATATATCAGAATAACTAACAGTTACCAGATCCTATGGAGATGGGAGCTACGTTACTGACTGTTTGAAATGAAAGGTTGCTACATTTATAAAAAGGTCATTTTTTTTTTTGTATCAAAATTTTTAAAGGTCGATAGCTATTTTGCCACTTAATCGAGCAATAAAAAAATATATAATTATTCAAAGTAAAAATTTATTTAACAAAAACAGTTAAACAATTACAATTAAATCAATTAAATCTTCACAAGGTATGAAGATGGTAACATTCTTACAAATTAAAAACTTCAACAGAGTGCACAAGAAAGTAATGTTAACTTAATAGAAAAAATAGTTATAAATTTGAAAAGTATAAAGAAGAACTGAAATATGGTAAACAAGATTTGTATATTGTATTTTCATGTGGATATATAAAAATGAGAAAATTTCTATTTTTGGCTTATTTGGACACAGCAGTTTGCTGCTACAGTCCTCAAAAAAACTTGCTATCTTGCTGATAGTTTGCTACAGTTGGCAATAAGGTACAGAGAGACACGGTGTGGGAGTTGGACTGGACTACAGCGAAAAAAACATGGCAACTCTGACAAATTTCTTTAATTCTGCTTAATAAATTTGCTGAATTTTACAAAATATTAATAACTGGAAGAAAATGTATTTGGAAATTATCTCTTTTTTTCTTACACAATCAAAATTATAATGAAAATTGAAAAATGATAAATAGTACTATTTAAATTACAATCATTTATAATTTTTTGCATTTTGCTTCTTATTTTTACACTTGTTCATTAATATCTGCTCTCAAACTGGATGTCTGAAGGATAAATGTGAGAGGTTTGGAAAGAAATAAAATAAGTAGTCCCTTGTTATATCACGCTGCTGGATATATCATAGTTTCTTTATTTCCCAACAAGTGCAATATAACAAGAGGCTACTGTATTTCAAAAATAAATTTTATCCATATTAAATTATTTGGAGTTCTGTCAAATTTATAATTTCGTTTAACAGCATTTTTAAAGTTACAAATATTTAAATTTTAAAATATGCTGATTGATATTATACTATGAGCTTACCTATGAGTCTACTTTATTGCATTTCATAAAGATTCATTGGTACACATTACTGTTACAAAACACATTTGACATTAATGTTACAAATTAAGTAATAATAATGTCAAATGGTGATAGTGAATTAGTAGAGTTATGCCAAAACATTTTAAATCATTATTTGGATTATAATTATGTGTAACTATTAATAATTAATGTAAAATAATTTTTTTAAAGGTAGGCAGTTAGCCTAATGTTTTATACTAACATTAAAACTAATAATTACAATAATTAATGAAATCAAAAATAAAGATGACATTACTTTGTTTCTTCATTTTTTTAAATTTTGTAATGTAGAAATTCATTTTACATGAATTAAACTAACATATTTGTGTAAAATTTAAAATACTGTATTTAAGAAACTTTCAATCTGAGTATGTCTTAGCAAAGAGAATTTTGTACAGTAGCATACATATGCAAACTTGTGCTTATGTCTTTCTTAATACATGTTTGAAGATGCCTTGTGTGTATGGTATGATACTTAGATTTAACAGGGAAGTAACTATTAAGAAATTCCTCTGAATTGCTGAGAAAGTCATCTCCATAATTTGATTTGCAAGTGTCTACTCTCTAATTATGTAAATTAAGTATAAAAATAAATAAATATAATTTATTGTTTTTACTTTATGACTAAGACCAACACTCCGCTAACATAAAAATGAGTGTAAAAACCCTCGTTGTAAATACTTTTAATCATGTGATCTGTTTGTTTGCATTTAGATTGTGGTGGAAGTCCAGCTCCACTATCAGAAGTTTTTACAGTGACTGTACTATCAACATTATAAATGTATATGTGATATATTAAATTAAAACTGATTATATTCTGTGAATTTTTCTGTACTATAATTACAAATGTGGTAAAAATAATATCCTTACTTTCATATATTAACTTTTATTATCATATTATTAAGATACTATACTGTACTTATATGTTTTTGTTTGGTTATGGCAACACTTGGGCAATCTGCCTGGGAGGGGATACCTTTCAGGAGGTCTTTTTAAGGGAAACTGGCCTCTATTTAGGCATTACAGACATAGAGAGAACCTGGAAAACTCCATGTGGCCAGCTCATCTGAGCGAGGCATGAACCCACAACCTAACTCTCAGTGTTCAGGGTACAGAAGACCGCTTGGCCACTGGTGGGCTTTTGTACTTATATGCTTAGCTTTTTTTTTATTATATACTGATCTGAATTGAAGGATTTTCCTAAGGCTGTCCATATTGCTTGTTTTAGGCATCCATTCTTATAATCAGGATACCTCTTATCATAGATACATGGATACTTTTGGATGCTTTCAATAAATCTTTCCAGATCTGTTCTAAGGTGTGTTTCAAATTTATATGGACACGAAAAAATTAAAATTAAACCCAAATTTGCTGCATTGAGTGACAAATGTTTATTAAAAATAACATGGATTTACATGTTTCCACACTGCAAAATAAGAATTTTAATCAAACATTAACATTTTGTCAT